TATGGAGGAGCTATTTCTGAAATACTTGTTCAACAAGGGGTTAAAATAAGTTATGAGGCTAGTTCTTCCAAGATCTGGAGAGACAAGTTTGAAGCTATCTATGAAAAATTATGATGTTAGATTTCTGCATAGTTATGCTTTGTATGTTATTGGAATCTTTGTATTGAGCATCTTATTAATAAATTCAGAGTTTTTTCATGCTTGTGTTTAGTTCTAACTGATTTATATTTATTCTCGTTGTTCAATGAGAATCTGAAATAGATAAAAAAACTCAAATTTTTGCAACTTATTTCATTAATGAAAAGGAAGTTATTACAAGACAATTGAATTTTCTAGTCTAATGGATGAGCCCTTAGAAATTCCATAGGATCACCTAACATGTCTAGATTATCTAAGAAGTCTTGACATTCTTCCTTAGCAAACTCCAAAGCCTCCTTTCTCAGTTTATTTCTCCGTATGGATCAAAAAGATCTTCTTCTTCTGTGAGTTTTCACAAAGGATGATGAAGAGGAAAGCACTTCTGAAGTTGTATGCTTGCTTACAAATCCTTTAGGTGTTGCCTTGCCTTGGTTTGCTTGAGTTGCTGCATTCGGTAGTGTTGCCTTCTTGAAATCTCTCTTTGGAATCCAGATTTGCTTTTACTTATACATCTTGGTATTTTAGGGATTAAGTGATGATGGAAGAAAGCTTACTAGAGTCCTTTTTATAGACCTGTTACATACATTGTCTTGAGTTTAATATTATTTAAGTACTGATTAAATCTTTTCAGTACTCTAATAATGACTCTTGGAAATGTGATCTAGCAGTCTAACCTATTAAGATTCTCTGGATTTCTATGAGTTTATGATTGATATGTTTTAATTGTCGTTTCTGTGTCACTTTCACTTTGTTAATGTACTTTCAGAAAATTTAAAGAAATTACTGGAATGTACTTGCGTGCTGAAAATAATTCTTGGTCAAATAACTATTTCATTAATATTAAACTGATGGATTACAAAAATATTTTTAAAAAGGGGAACAAGATGATTCTATATGAGATCCCTAGCTAGAGCATCTCGTGCCCAACAGCGTCCACTGTTATAATCCACCTCCTCATCTTTAGAATCAATCACATCTTCCTCTTCTATGACTGGGAGAGAGCGGTAGAACTGCTTTTTGACCTTCCTTTTCTTCTTTGACCTCTTCATGCTTTTTCTCTTTGGCTTCAAAGTAGCTACTACTAAACCTCCTTCTGAAGGTCGTTCAGGTACTGCTGATGTTGCCTCTTCTGAAGCAAGTATTGAGGGCAAATGCTCAGTTGTAGAGGGCTCAGAAGTAGCTCGCCTCTGAGGGGATTGGATTGCTAAACTTGTAGAGCTCTCAGTCACATCTGTTACAATGGATGTATTATGACTCTCAGTTGATGACTCCATATCTCTTGGTTGATGATTAATGAAAATGACTTAGGAGTTGGATGCTTTTATAATAACTTCTGTGGATACCAAGAGTCTAAAATTAATTCTTATTTAATTCTTGGAATAGTAACGACCACTAAGACTTTAAAGCATGCACTTTACAAACCTTAATGACTCTTATTACTTGATTACTTTTCCTCTTTGGAAACTGATCCAGTAAGGATTATCTGGGATACATTTATTTGTGATATTCTTTCACTTTTCTTTCTTTTCCTTTTATTCTTTTTTATGTGACAAAAAGGGGAGAAATAATAGTAAGTATTTAAGTGGAAACTAAACCCATTGAATACCTGTTATGTACATATTGGTCATTTATTTTCTTGTCATTTATTTTCTATTTTTATGCTTACCTTGCCCAAGGTGTATTTTTAACTTTCTTGTACATAGGTCTAAGGAAAAGCTTTCAAACCTCAGACTTATCCTATCAGACCAGAAGGATCTTACAAACCTCATATTCTGGTGTTGTCAAAGAAAGTTAAAAAGGGCAACATATTTTAACTCTCTTGTACATAGTGTTAAGTAAGAGCTTACAAACCTCTGACTTAGCATATTAGACACAGAAAGAGCTTACAAACCTCGTATTCTGATGTTGCCAACGGAATTTAAAATGTTGTTATTTTGGTTTTCTTAAATATGAAACTAAGGGGGAGCTTAAAACCTCAACCTTGGAACTGTTTGACTCGGGGAGCTTGCGAACCTCAAACTCTGATGTTACTAAGAAGACTAATTTATTTTTTCTTGAAAAATAGTTCTTGGTGTTAGAGTCAATAGAACTCAGTTGTGGACTATCAGACTCAAGGGGAGCTTACAAACCTCATACCCTGTTATTGTAGAGAAAATTAAATTCCCAACATTGTCCTTTAGATACTTGTGTTTGTCATCATCAAAAAGGGGGAGATTTTTAGAAAAAGATTTGTTTATGACATATTCTCTTTTAGTTTTGATGATAACAAAAGTATTAAAAGAACAATGGTTTATTTGATGTGTGTTTTCTTTATGCAGTTCTTGTACATAAATAATTATAATATGTTTTACTTAGACACACTTTGGAGTTACTTCATTGCTAGCTTCTAGTGGCAGAGTCTGAAGAACAATTGCTAGTATGGCTTGGCGCAGACTCTGAGCTGAAGGTGTCATCATTCATGACGAGTTACTACACGTGGTAATTGTATATTAGCATCTGGTACCATTCAGAGTTGGTGATAAAGTTATGGATTATCTGTACTGTAGAAAGCAAGTTGTATTGTCTTATCAGCTTGTCAGCTAGAGTCCACAAGATTGCAAGGCTCAAGAAAGGTTGACATGCTCTACGAACGTCTTCTTCCAACAGCTCTATCAATATAAAACCTCTTGAAGACTCAAAGGTTAAACGCGTTACACACTGGATTCAGAATCTGCTGTGCATCCATTTCAACGTCTCTTGTACTATGGAGTTGTCACACCCTAATTTTTGACTTTAAGATCCCACCCCATTTTTTCATCTTTTTCTACATGTCTTATTTTACTTTTGTGTGCCTGTTTATTCTGTCTAACGAGCTCGTGCAGGTGCATTGTTTGCAAGTAGAACTGGCGTTCGTCCTTTCAATTAAACACTTCAGGTTGTAACTAAGGGATCCAGATTCGAAAGTCTTAGGGTTTTCACGGCTTGAAGAGCTAGGATTTGAGCATGCTATCCCCTCCCACATCTCAGGAGACTTGTCGTTTTACTCCAGGGGGTGAAGGCTTTCCTTACGTCAATATTGTGCATGAGAATTTATGGATTATTATGGTCGTTGCAAGGTTATTTTTGAAGTCGTGATGTAGTGATCTCAAATCAAAGTTTATTGGACTTTAGTGTTTTTGGATCATGGTATTTCATGCCTGGTTGTAGTGTGACGTATGTCTTGGATGTATCTTTTTTGGAGAAGTTTGACCTTCGTTAAAAGTTTCTTTGGTTTCGACGAGATGTTCAAATCAATATTTTCAAATGTTGGTTTATTAGCATGATCATAGTGTGTCCTCCATCCAATATGGTTTGACTTTATTTCTCTTATTAAGTTTCTATTGAAATAAATGGGTGTTCTCAACTCGTAACATTTTCGCAAAGTGCATTTCTTTATCTCTTAGTTTACAAGGTTAGGGTCGAAATAACCAACATGCTAGGGGTGTATTTGAACTTTGGCATTACTACCTTTGAGAATATTTGATTTGGATCTTTGTTATTCTTCTTATTTCCCAAAGTTGTTGTGGAATTCTTAGGTTCAAATTTCAAAGTTTTGTGCAAAAGGGGGATTGTTGTCATAAACATCAAGAGATTCGTTTGGCATAATATTAATAGCACTCCCATGTGGTCAAGTTTAAGGGATGGCAGGTTTCTTCAAACTTCATTTCCAAATTCAAAGAATACAATTATTTGGTCCTTCACGAGATTCACATTAGGCACTTTCATTGCAACAAAGACATCAAAAAAAGAGAGAACAATTTAATAGGAAGTTTTTTTCGTACACATTTGGGACACTCTTGGTTCATTAAGCAAACACAAGGCACTGCAAATTACAGGAGTTACAAGTCGAATTTTTCACCCATATAACCATCATTTCACCCCCATAATCCCAAAATACCCAACATTTCCTCATATTTCCCAATCTAACCAACTTTGTGTTTTTTTTTTAAAATACAAAGGGGCGCCATAGGCCTTGGCTCCTCCCTTATAAATTATAGGGGGCGCCATCCAGGATGGAGGCACCCTATAATTTATAAAGGGGGCGCCATCCCCTTTGGCTCCTCCCTTAAATTCGAATTTTCAAAATAATTTTTATTATATAATAATTTAAAAAATATTTAATAAATAATAATTAAGAATTAAAAAAGTATTTAATAAATAATAAATTTAAAAATAAAAAATTTCAAATAATAAAAAAAATTAAATTTTATTTAATAAACTTAATATTAAAAAATAATTACAATTTTTTTTAATTACAAATGGGTACATATGAGTGATTTGGTACACTAATTTCTACGACTTGGTCGATTTAAATGTCCGCCCGTACCGCATCCTCGATTACGTACGTTTCTTGGTCGTCTTTGTGGTGGAGTTGGGTCGACTGTGTCGTCTTCAAGAAATTGCATCATTTCGGCCCATGAAGTCGATTCCATCCCCGTAAAGTCATCCAAATCAAAAGGGTTGCCCATGCCTTCATAATTATTTTGGGGTGGTTGGCTGGATGAGGCAATGTCAGGACGATAGCCTGACTGGTTGTAGGGTGACATGGGTGTAAATGTTTGGGCTGGTAAGGGTTGATTTGGTGTTTGAAACTGGGTGTTTATTTGGTTTGTAGTATCCGTGGAGTATGTTTGGTATTGTGGTGGATATTGTTGGTATTCGGACTGTGAATAAGTTTGTGTGAATGGGGTGAATTGGTTAGGGGTATGTTCGTATAGTTGTGGTTGTGTGAGTGGGGGTTGGGTTGGAGGTTGGAAATGGGGTTGGGTTGGTGGTTGGAAATGGGGTTGGGTTGGCGGTTGGAAATGAGGCTGGGTTGGTTGTTGGGTTCTTGATGATGTGGCTTATTGGCGTGGGTCAACAAGATATCTTGGATGCGAAATGAAACCGATGGATACCTCCCTATACCAATTCATGTATTGGATAGTATGTTTTCTCTCGTGTGGAAACACAGTGTCGAACAAAATAAAATGGCTGCGATGCTTCCATTCACGAGACTCATGTTTTGCATACTTGGTCCATGGAGAATATTCCCATTGGTCGGAGACTTTACTGGTGTGATATTTGTCGGGGATGCATTTCGGCGGACATGGAATATCTTGAAGCATTCCAAACTGAAGCTTTACACGATCATTGTAGTGCATCTCCACGGTTGTGAAGTTGATAATCGACACCTTTGCACTCCACACTGTAGAGTCGTGTCGGTTAACTTCGTGAATAGCTTCTAGACCAAGATATGGCCGCCAAATAAACTGTAGGAGAAAAAAATAATATTTAGTATTTTCTAATAATATTTAGTATTTTCTAATAATATTTAGTATTTTCTAATAATAAGTAGTACTTACATCATCTTGTCCCAAATGATGTATAAGATTTCTGTATTGGGTGATACTGAAATGGGGACAATTGTCGTAATTCATCCCAAGTGAAGACCACCTACAAATCAAAAAGAAAACATTTGTTAATAATAGGATAAATTAAGTAAAAGACTATGAAAGATTGATCATTCTTGGTCTAAGTAATTACCTTGTAGCGTATGGGAATGCAAAATTATTTTGTTGGATAGGTGCTAGATTAGTCATCCTTGACCATCCCCAAGCTTGAAGAAGAACACCACAATCGGTCCAATTTCCCGAATTTGCTATTGCGTTGTTACACAAAGACCGATATAGGTGCGCTAGAGAAGTACGAGACAAGTCTTTCAATACTCCTAATGCTTTCACCATTTGGAATGTCTCCTTCTAACCACCGATTCAAATTTCTTCGTAGTTGCTCTAAAGTCTGGATGTTCCAAAACACCATCCTTATCGGAGGTTTCGTTCTTGAAAAAATTACATGCCCATATCTTCTAAGATACATGACTCACTCTCCTAAATTTGGATGAAATAATGTGTTGTTTGAATGAAACAAGTCTAAGTATTTATACACAAAATATTTTTACAAAATAGTATTATATTATAATTATATTATGTATATAAGAATTAAAAAATATAACGAATCAAAGGGAGCTCCAAAGGGGATGGCGCCCCCCTTTAACTCTTTAAGGGAGGAGCCAAAGGGGATGGCGCCCCCTTTATAAATTATAGGGTGCCTCCATCCTGGATGGCGCCCCCCTATAATTTATAAGGGAGGAGCCAAGGCCTATGGCGCCCCCTTGTATTTAAAAAAAAAAACCAAAGTTGGTTAGATTGGGAAATATAAGGAAATGTTGGGTATTTTGGGATTATGGGGGTAAAATGATGGTTATATGGGTGAAAAATTCTTACAAGTTACGTATATAATTTTAAGTTACTAAATAAGCAGCGGTTTATGAGAGTACAGCGGTGGATGTTGTCATATGAGCACTTTTTACAAACTCTAAGCTTTGTGATAGAATAATTACAGTTTGGTCATGTAGCGGTTTTGCAGAAACTATAAGCTACCATTACAACTACAAGAGGTTTTAATTTTGACTTGTACGCAGATCTTGAGTTCTTGAAGAATTGTTGAATGATGCTCCCTCACACGTACCGTCTCCAGCTCTGCCCCACCTAGAACTTTCGATTGGTTTCGACCTGCATAACATCATGGTAATATCATATTAGGAGAGGTTCAGAAATAGCCGCTTTGTGGAGTACGCGGATGGTTTATCCAATATTTCAATAATCGCGATATTGGCTTACGAATTTCTCGAAGTGGCGGTCTTCAAGGGATACCTAACTCAAAGGAAAGCGTAATGCATTTCCTAGAGAACAGCTGAGTATGTTTGAGCTGAGGTAGAAGAGGAACCTATCAATTAACCCATTAGTTAACAACAGTAACAGGCGTCGTCGATGGGAAGAAGAGCACTACCAAAACCTTCGCCGGAACTGCGACAACATGTTCACTCGACCTGCATTTCAACAGAGGGATTTGAGGTTTAGAATGTACTTTTGGCAATCTCAATATAGAAGGAATTCAAAATCGTACTACCTTCTTTATGTTCGTAAGCAGCAACGACGATTTTGGGCAAGCTATTGTTAAGCTTCATCACTCTCCCCTGGTTACGTTTCCATTTGTCTGCCGTATGAGCCAACACCTCCAACTTACTGCAAACAGTCAAATTAAGGAAGAAATCAGGATATCTCAAATACAATCATCGACAATCAATTCTCGTTATTGGACACAACTCAAAATAGAAAGTTTCCATATGAACCCATTCAAAGAGGGACAAAGTCTTAAACCGTTTTCCAAATTCAGACAAGCATGCTTATACGGATTTGGAAACAAATTAACCATGAATTAATTAGCAGAATTGGTGAAAGATATAAAAGGGGGAAGACCGTAAATGCAAACCCTAACTTCCACACACAGAACACACAACAATCCATTCATAAAACAACAATCACAGAATCACAGAAGCAAAGAAATCCATTTGAAACCTAAAATTGTAAAAAAGGAACACTTAGCTTTTTAAGGTCTGCCGCGCTCACCGCGAACCACCCTCCTCATTCGCCATTATTAGAGCCGCCACGAACCCTCAAACCCACGCACCGCGCTTCAAGTCCGCCTTCGCCACAAACCACCCTCCATCCTCGCCGGTCATCCGTCAACAGAAACCTACAAAGGAGGGCCACTACCATAAGCTCGTTTTTTTCTCTAACATTAATAAATGCTTCTTGTGGTTTTTTTTCCCTCTTTTCAGAATATAGAAGAAGAAGAAGAAGGTGGAAAATTGCAGAGGAAACGTGACGAAGGGGATGAGAGGAAGAAAGAATAGAGGAAGAGAGAGGAAGAAATAGAAGAGAAGGATCACGTGAACATGGAAAGAAGAAGAAGAAAAGATTGATGGAGGAGAAAGAAGATCGTGAGAGGGAAGAAAGCAGAGAGTGGGGAGGTGAGATGAAAATAGGTAAAACAACGGAACAGGAAGAGTGGAGTGGATTTAGGGTTTCTTTCTTTTAATTTTTGTTTATATATGTTGTAATCTCATGTATGCACACCCACAATTATCACCGTGAATCCACACATCACGGTCATTCATCACCATCTGATCATCACCGTAGATCCACTACGCAACCCCACGGTGCACCACTCACCACACACCCATACATAATCGTGCGCCACCCCCTTAATCTACCATTAATCCTGCTTAATCTTCTTAAACCATTAATTAATCCACTAACCTTTGGTTAATCCTAATTAATTCACTTATTTAACCACCTAATCTAATTATTAACTATAATATTAGTTTAATTAACTAAGTAAATAACCTTTTTTAATTAAGCAACTAATAATTTTTTTTAATAAATTAACATTTTTTTAACTAATTAACTCATTAACTTTTTTAATATTTAATCCATTCTTATTCACTTTCTTAGTAAATTTATTTCTACCATTTTTTAAATATCTTAATTTTGTTCATCTTTTTTTCAAAAAAAAAAACATTTATTTAATAATTCCATTTTATGTAATAATATAATAAATTGCCCTTATCACAAAAACTTCTTTTTTTTTTTCATTTAACTTTTATTTAGTATCTATCTCCTTAATAAAAAGAATTAATAATAGCTAAAAACTAATTTTATTTAATAAGTCGTCTATTTATTTAAAGTCATTTCTATTAAAAAAATCTAATTCATTTAATTTAATTTTAATTTTTACTAGAACAAATTAATTCATCATTTAATATAACTATTTTCTTAAAATTAATCTTGCATAATTAATCAACACGCGCTCCCGACTTCTATCCTTCGAGCTCCGACTTTATTTGGAATGTTTCCGCTCCAACCGCTTGTCTGATTTTAGCGCTTTTCGTCGTTTGTATGGATTTAATTATCTGTTGCTCGTATTTATTTTGTCGCATAATGTCCAAAGGAAGAATCTGCGCATGACTTACAACATAAGGAGGACTTTTTTCTCTTACAACATAGAAACAAACCATTTACAACAATTCAAACTATTCTCACCATTAGAGAATTAGACGTGAGTCATCTTGACCGTCGAGATGTAAATCTCCTGCCCCATAACAATACAGTCGAGATATAAAATCTTTCCTAATTGAGAGTGATAGTGGCATACTCGTCGATCATAATCCGAGTTTTTAAACCCTTCTCTCAAGACGATGCAAAGACTATCTCCTACAAGTTGTGGTGGTTAAGTCGAGTGTTCTCCCTCGAGATGACGACTCGTCTTTTCTCCTAGAATCAATTAATCAACAACCCTTTATCCCTTAGGAATTTTGACCAACAGTCAAAGAGTTTCTCAAACCCTTTAGAGGAACTACAAATACTTTGATTCCATTCCCGTCAAGATATGTAGGCACAAGATGCAACGTCTTGGCGAGTATACTTAGAAATAAACCACTAGGTCTTCTCATCCTTAAGCAGATAACCATTAGAAATAAACACAATAAAACAAGAGGTTCCTGTAGAGTACTTCAGAAACTTAGGATGCTAGCACCTTCCCCAAGTTTAACCAACCCCCGAACCTAAACTCTCTAGCTTTTGCATTTGCATTGCATTGTGGGTAATTCGATATTTTTCCCTTCCTTTGGACAAATAAAATACCGGTGGTGAACCAATGAATTAAGATTCAAATTAGTTAATAATTTGACGTCCAATTCTCATCGCGACAGAAATGGCGACTTCACTGAGGAATGCTCTTTGTGGGTTTCCCTAACTTGTTTTTTGCTTTGTTTATTTGTTTTACATATATCTGCTTGTTTGTATAATTGCTCTTGTTTATGCTTTTGGGTTGATATCCTTGAGTGGTGAGACAAAGTCCTACACCCGGACTTGAGTGAACTTATTATAGGAAGGTAATATATTCGACGAGGCTTATAGGGAGTGAGTCCCGACCAAGCTGACTTGAGAATCACCGCTTAGTTGATGCCCTCTTGAAAATTAGTACTGTTGGACGAGTATTCGTGAAAACATTCACTATTTTCGATTGAAACCTGTGATACTGAGGACCGTAGTTACCTTAACCCCACTTTGGCCTTTATTAGGATGTAGTGCGATGACTATGAGGGAGTAGTCCCAAAATAGTTGATACGCGATGCTACACTCAAAAGAAGTTCTCTTGAGAATATTATTAACCACCCAGTTAGTCGGGAAATTGATAATATCCGAAAGATGGACTAATGATTTTGGGAACCTTTTAGAACCTTGTTCTACAGGTAAAATCCACCTTTAGTCCACACCCTTTGGGGATGGGTATACCCTTTGCTACATGCTCGTTGTAAACCTAAGTCCCTTGTTTGTTTGTCTTTGTGTCTCTGTGTGCTTTCCCGTGTTCGTGCATCTTTGCATTCATAAAGCATCATGTGTTGCACCCTAAAATTTGACCAACCGGGTCCCGCATCTGGCCCTATGTTTCGACGCATAACTGCATTCGCATCTGCATATCGCATACAGTGCATTTTTCATTTGTTTTGATTTTATCGAGATCACAGCCCTCGTCTCGCGTCTCAGGTGTTTTTAATCAGTTTAGATGAGTAGAATCGTTTTTGGGAAGTCGTGCTATTCCCAGTGTTTTCAGCTCGTGTTGTTGTTTTTAGGGACGTTTCGGTGCCCGTTTATTTTTACCGGCTATTTTGATGCGCTCTCGCGGTGTTATTTGTCGTTCGGTGCTATTTTTGTTCCCTCGGGAATTATTGTGAATTTTCTGGAATTTATTAGCCATTATTAGGGTTTTATTGGATTTTAAATAGTTTTTTAGAATTTAAATGGAATAAATAAATAGCATTTTCTTTTTAGAATATCAG